TTTTAGTTTTTCATATTACCCCAACATTTCGCTTTCCGATACTGAAAACCGCGCCTTTTTAGCTGCTTCTTAGAAAAAGTTATCAAAGAAATGGCTGTGCTTCTTCTTTTTTGAAATGGATAGTAGTCAAGCACCTAAACATCGGGACTAATGAAATTTTCGGAATGGAAAATTTTTTAAAATAACTTTTTGACTTACGATAGTTAGAGACTTGCGATCTACGTCATTCGCTAGCCAAAACATCACCGCATCTTTAAGTAACACACGGGCCTTCCAAAAATATTTTAAAAACCGGTTTTCCAGGAGATCTTTTGGAAAACTGATCCTTCTCTGCATAAACCTATGTTTTGGGATTTCCAAAAATGAGCATCGCCATCAGATTCAACGTGGCTGACTACGTATGTTTCATGCAATTTCGATGTCCGCGCAAGCTCTTGGTGAGATGTCATTGGCATTATATCACATTCAAAAAGACATACAATATGTTTTCATTTCTCGAAGTGTTCGTCATAAACACAAAGGATTCGTCATGATCAATGGTTTGCTAATACATCTAAGACACTGACACACATTTTTCCCCATTCATTCACTTGTCTTCGCTATATTCATTCTTATTCACACAAACATCCACTCCAGTGACTTTTCTTTTTACTACATTGCGATCTGGAATTATTTTCTACTTTAGAGAAGATCGGCTCGATTTTCTATAACTTTTCTCATTTGCCAGAAAATCGATAAGGAACTTCTGAAAAGGTGGAATGTCTACAGCGATTTTCTAAAAATTAGAAAATCGATTCATTTTCTATAAATAAATTCCGACATTCGTGAAATTCGACAGCGATTCTCCAAATAGTTGGAAAATCGAATTCGATTTTCTAAGAAGACAAATCGATGATTTTTTTCTTGCTTCTTTCACATCTATCAAAGCCTGCATTGCAACAAGTTATCCTGGAACAGATCTCTGCTCGTTTTAGTGTTTAACATCGACAATGTTAGTAGATTCGGATAGTGCTCTCAGTTTTTGAAAATCAGCACATTCTTTGAGAATTATTGTTGTTGTATGACACTTAGAGATCACAAAGAGGTACTGAAAAGGTTCTTGGGTTAGGCGGGATTAAGACGAAGTCGAGTTTCATCGCAACTTTCCGAAGACCGTAAAGCGTTTCGCTCCTGCTAATATTCTTCATTTTTATGTCTGAATTTAGCATCTTCCAAAAATGTAGTTGGTTCTATTAACTCAAAGGCATGATCCTAACAATTCACATTTATTTTCTTTATTTTTAATTAAATAACAGTCGTTCAACATGTGATCAATGTCGAATTTGGTTTTCATTATTAAAAGATCCATGGGTACTTCCATACAGGTCCTACCACTTTATACACGGTTTAAAGCCGGGAAGGTTTGACTATATGCAATCGATAGTCCTGCTAAAGGTATGTAAAGATCCATGTCGCCTCATGGAAAAATTATTCCGAACACGGTTTTTCTTCAGCCATAAATTCTGAATTTAAGCGCTTTTAGGGGTGCCAGAATAGCTAAATCTGACCTTATTGAACGCTATCAAGCGTTCTCATACAGCTGGCTGGAAAGAGCATACAAAGTTGCATATTTCTATCCGTATGTTGACTACCGTCGGTTGAACGAGGTCACCGAACGAGATGTTTATCCTTTGCCTAGGGTAGACGATACGCTCTACATGGTGCTAAACATTTTAGTACATTAGATTTACGTTCAGATTTTTGGCAAGTAGAGCTCGATGAGGAAAGTAAAGAGAAAACGGCATTTGTGACACACGATGGCTTATTTCAATTCACCGTGATGCCGTTTGGTTTAACTAATGCACCGGCTACATTTCAACGCTTATGGAAGTTATTTTGTCCGGCTTGAATTGGCGCTGTTGCTTAGTATATCTAGATGATGTCATCATCTTCTCTTCTACTTTTGATCAATATCTCAAAGACATAAACAATGTTTCAGGACGATTGCGTCAAAGTAATCTAACTCTTAAAGCATCTAAATGTCATTTTTGCCACAGAGTGCTCAAATATTTACGNCGACACATACTTAGTGCCAAGGGTATACGACCTGATCCAGAAAAATTAACAGCTGTACGTGATTTCCCTGTTTCGTACAAACCTAAAGGTATCCGTTCATTTCTTGGATTAAGCGGTTATTATCGTCGGTTTATCCAAAAACTATGCAACTATAGCTGAGCCTATGTTGCAATTAATTCGTGTTAAGCGTTCACCTGTTTTCTGCTGGATATCAGAATGTCAGGATTCTTTCGATGAATTAAAACAAAAACTCATAACTAGTCCCATAATCTCGCATCCAGACTTCAATCATCCATTTATATTACAACTGGATGCGTCCGATTATGGATTAGGGACCTTGTTAGCCCAGAAAGTTCCTCCCGATGGGGAGAAACATGTAATCGCTTACGCTAGCCGCACGTTAAACGAATCGGAACGTGAGTGTTTGGCGATTGTTTGGGGAAGGGGACTCAGCACTTCCGTCATATTTGAAAGGAAGACCATTTAAAGTCTGGACAGACCATCGATCTCTAACATGGGTCAGAAGGCTAAAGGATCCAACTAGTCGATTAGCAGCTCGGGATTAGCTAGAACACCGCCGAATTGCTCTCTATCATACGCAAACTAATCTATCAGAGCGGATTAATAATACATTAAAAATGACGATAGCAGGATACGCAGATAAAAATCGAAGTAGAGATGTGCAGGGTAACTGTTTACGGAGCCCTTGCCGTACCCTGCGAAAAGTTTTTGAGCCTGGCCCTACCGTACCCTGTAACAATGAAGCTCTGGCTCTACCCTACCCTTGGAAAATTTTAGAATTTTTCATTTACAAATATTTCTTTACCTTTTTAAATAAACGAATCAAATTGATAAAAATTCTTTTTTAAAATTTCGTAGCAACATAATGTCATGGACCGTTTCCTCGGCCAGCCTTTCTTGTTGTTTTTTTATATTGCCAGTTGTACCAAAAATGGGTGCCGTGCATCCGATAGAATAAAGAATTTAAAATAACTGTCGCTAGCGACCGATCTCAATGTTGTACCGACGATATATCTTTTTTAGACGAAGCCCTAGCCCTACCCTACCCTGCATGTAGGGTAGGGTAAGGGCGCCCTGAACATCTCTAGATCGAAGTAATTGGGATATAAAACTTCCACAGTTAGCTTTCGCTATGCGAACAGCGATACATGCCAGTACTGGAGAATCTGCGGCTTTTCTGATGTTCGGTCGCAAGCCTCGATTACCGCTCGACGTGTTATTTGGCGTAAATAACCGAACGAGTGATCGACATGTAAACAATCACGAAGTTCGAAATTATCGCGATCGACTTATAAGTAATCTTTTGTCTGCTTTTGACTTCGTACGTCAGAATCTAGAGATCGCACAACAAAACCAACGTTCAAACTATAATCAACATCGCAAAGATGTATATTTTAAAGTAAGCGATCTCGTGATGATGGCTACTAAATTGGTAGCGCTTTAGGCAATGGAAAGCTCCAAAGGTAGATCGGCGTTGGATCGGTGCATTCCAAATTACGAAGAAAATTACGCCCATAAATTGTCAAATAATATCCTTAGTAGATAATCGCATAATTGAAGTCTTACATGTCGAACGTTTGAGACCGTACTATTTTCCGTTTCGAATTTCTTCGTAGATATTTTGTAAGATGCCAATATTTATCTACATTTATCTATTTTTTGTTATTTCTTTATACAATTACTTGACACATATATTGGTATTGATATGAAAGCTTCTTTGTCTTATTCTCTTCATATAGTTTAAAAAAAGTGGAAGGTATATGGAAAGGTATATCTCGCTTGATCAAGTTCTAGCTTTGAATATAGTTCATACCTATCTTTTCTCTCTCTCCAACTCGACTCATGTCATTCAAGACGCGAATTTGCCAGAATGTATCGCGAACGTTCTCAATAAATAAGCAAAGATATCGTAAACCACAACTATGTAATATAAAACAAAACAGAAACATATACATCGGATAACAGCAACAACAACCATCAGCAACAGAAAAAACAAAAACACATGTATGGTTTAAAAATAATAATGGGAGTCGTCGTAATCCTCTAATCTACTCATAACCACGTCGTCAAGTGGCACGAAAACGACTAAATTCCCTTCTTCCAACT